CTCCGGGAATCACCACACTTCAGCCTCCTGAGTAACTGGGTCTACAGGCATGCAGCACCATACCCAGCTAAGGTTTTAAGTTTTGATAGAGATGGGATCTCACTATGTTGCCCACCTGGTCTCAAACTCCTGGGCTCAAGTGGTCCTCCTGCCTCAGTCTCCCACAATGCTGGCATTACAGGTGTGAGCTGTCACGCCCAGACTGAACGTTTTCTGTTTACCAAGGCATGTGACACTGATTGTGCACATGTAAAGATACTACACATTATTTCAACTATAATGTTTTGTTCTTTTTAAATTTTCCCTGGTATTAATCTGTAGGAAATGTCAGAAAATACCAGCCCCTGCCCTGCCCCCAGCTGTTTGCTGTTAGTTGGTTAGCCTGACCTCTCATGTATGGCCATGCTGCCTTGGCACAATTTCCTGTATAACTGGCATGTGATTTTAACTTCACAGCGCCTGTACAGATCAGTTTATGAAAAGAACAAGATGAAAATCCACATCGTCCCCGACATGGTAGAGATGGTTACCGCCAAGGATTCTCAGAAGAAAGTCAGTGAGATTGATTACCGCCTGCATCTCCACGAATGGATTTGCCACCCCGACTTACAAGTCAATGATCATGTCAGGAAAGTCACAGATCAGATCAGCGACGTAAGCCTGTCACTTAAGAAGCACCCTCCACTACCCTGCCCCACGCCCCCACACAAAAGAGCTACAGACTCACCCATTTCTTTACCGTAGCCTTTTTCCACTATTTCTTTCCTATATGTCCGTGGTCTGACTTGATTCAGGAGCCATCTCTGGGAGCACGGCTCTGTGTATGGATGTTTCTGTGGCTCCCCTGAGCCTCTTTGCATAATGTCTTTGCTCGTCATTTTACAAAGGCTTCTGGGTCCAGAATGTGCCTATGTTTTTGTTAAAAACATAGGTCAATTTTTATTACGGTCAATTTTTTTCTCTGATCCTTTCTATCAAAACCCTCTAGATTGTGTACAAGGATGACCTCAACTGGCTGAAAGGCATTGGTTGCTATGTCTGGGACACTCCTGAAATCCTCCATGCCAAGCATGCTTATGATCTACGTGATGATGTAAGTTTGCCTCATTTTGTTCTGTAGTATATTTCCATTTCTGCGTAGTCTAGAGTCAAGAGGAAATTATTTAAAACAGGGACATTGTCACAGATTAGCTGTGGGGGTGGCTGAGCTGAAGGAGGATGCTAGGAGCAGAGCAACTATCACTTGGGGAAGCATATGGCACTCTACTGAACAATGCAGTCCAGGTATGCCATCGTCCTCTGGTGGAGAAGGGACTGCTGGCTCTTCTTTTTACTTTTTAGGCTATTTTGGATATATTAACAAGCACTTAATTATCATTTTAGGAAAGTGCCTTTTGTTAGTGTTTGCAATGCTATAGACCAGATCTATTTGTAAAGAGAGGATTTTCAGGCAAATTAAATACTGTAATGAGGATTTCAGTAAGAAAACTTAAACTTTCCTAGAAGAGTAGTTGTCAAGTGTCCTAGAAGATGCAAGAAGCCCCATATCGCTGTTATAAAATTCAAATGCATCTTGGTCTGTCAAACAAGTGCGGATGAATGTAACGCTCATGAGTTAAAAGCAACCAAACCCTCTACGAAAACCAGCAGTTTCAAACATAAGGAATGGTCCAACATGGGCTTGTTTTCTGCTTCTTGGCAGATCAAGTATAAAGCTCACATGTTGAAAACAAGGAATGACTACAAGCTTGTCACAGATACACCAGTCTACGTGCAGGCTGTCAAAAGTGGGAAACAGCTAAGTGACGTAAGTGCTCCCTGGGGAAGTTAAGTGGACAGTAACAAAGACAGGGCCACCACTCAAGCAGAGGGGTAAAAACCACAGGCTGGGCAGTGCCAAGTCTTTTCTAACTGAGAAACCAGAGTTGGTACCTTTGAAAGTACTGATAATGCTGCTGCTGTTTCCTAAAGCCTGATGTGTTAAGCAGTTTGCTGGGGTGGAGTTGTAAGTGATCTGAGTCTATGAAGTAACTTTGGGCCTTAGCGCTTCCAACATTGTTTCCTGTGCCCTGGGTCATTGCAAGTTTATTTCTGTCTAAGCCATTTAATAAATTAGAGCCAACGATGGTAGAATAAGAAGCAAGCAGGCTCTGAGGTTAGAGATGTGGAGCGCAGTCTCGCCTCTACCACACACTATCTATGAGGCTTGTGAAAAGCACTGAATCCATCTGATCCTCCCATCCTGATGCATAAGATGGGGACGTAAGGAAGCACCCACTGTGATGCCTGACGTGGAGCAGGCAGGGCAGGCACAAAGCTGCTCTTTCTTTATTAACTCTACAGGATGATAAGTCAATATCAGATCCCACCAGTGAAAGCAAACATTGAGACCTAGTATTTTGGAACTTCTAGTGGTAAAATGCCCACCCTTCCTCTTCTTGTGCCTGGGCCATCTCTTGTATTCCTCAGTGTGAGTGTCCACACCCTGGCTCTGATCCTATTGGACAAGCCACAGTAAGGTGCCAGATGAGTTCTCCAGGCAAAGGAAAGCAGGCTACCATTATTTTTTTTAAAGAGAGATCTGGGTTTCCCTTTTCTTTGCTTCTAATAATGCTTCTCCCTGCACCAGGCTGTCTACCACTATGACTATGTGCACAGTGTCAGAGGCAAAGTGGCTCCAACTACCAAAACTGTGGATCTGGACCGGGCCCTCCATGCGTACAAGCTGCAGAGTGCGGTGAGCAGTGAGAACTTGAGTGCCCGGCAGAAATCCATTCCATCAGCCTCTGTGGAAGCAAGCTCAGCCTGCTTCCTCTTGACATGTCCATGTAAAATATAAATGCTGTTCCATTCACATGAGGTGAAAAAAACCAAAACACCAAACAGAGCATACTCTGTCTTCCCTCCTGGCTGCCAGGATCCTCCTGTGGAGCAATCAACCCAACATAAATGGGCATTTTTCAGCAATATTTACAATTTACAAAGAAGAAAGCCAGTATACCTTCTCAGCTTTCAAAACGCTGAAAATCGGGATGACAGAGATAAGGCCTTTAACCTCAATAAGAGATAAACTAGAAATTGTTGTTGGTATTCAGAAGAGAAAGAACCTAGATCCCACCTACCTATTCTGTGTTACCCAATGGTGCTGATTTGGTCTCAAATTTTCACACTATTTCCCGTCTTGAGCATTAAAAATAATTTTGGGCCAGGTGCAGTGGCTCAAGCCTGTAATCCCAGCAGTTTGGGAGACCAAGGCAGGCGGACCACCTGAGGTCAAGAGTTTGTGACCAGCCTGGCCAACATGGTGAAACCTCATCTCTACTAAAAATACAAAAAATTAGCTGAGCGTGGTGGCTCCTGCCTATAATCTCAGCTACTTGAGGAAGGAGAACTACTTGAACCCAGGAGGTGGAGATTGCAGTAAGCTGAGATTGCGCCATTGCACTCCAGCCTGGGTAACGAGCAAAACTCTGTTCCAACTAATAATAATAACAATTATTATTATCATTATCATTATTATTATTTTGGCCAGGCACAGTGGCTCATGCCTGTAATCCCAGCACTTTCAGAGGTTGAGGCAGGCAGACGGCTTGAGCCTGGAATTCAAGGCCAGCCTGAGCAACATGGTGAAACCCCATCTCAACAAAAATAAATAAATTAGCCAGGCATGGTGGCATGCTTCTGTGGTCCCAGCTACTTGGGAAGCTGAGGCAAAAGGATTACCTGAGCCCAAGGAGGTCAAGGATGCAGTGAGCTGTGATCGTGCCACTGCACTACAGCCTGGTGACAGGGTGAGACCCTGTCTCAAAAACAAAATAAAAATAATTTGGTTTTTCATATTTTAAATGTAATTCTCAATCTTAAACTCCAAGAGACAGAGTATTTAAGGTCACAGACAGACGCTCCGCCTTGTCCTCCCTTTCGCCATGAACGTGTGCATCCTGACCTCTTCACAGCCTGATGTCAAGACATTGTGTTTGGAGGGGGCAGGGGAGGGTAACACAAACATACACCTGGCTATATCTTGGTGATAGCTTGAATATCATCACCTGAGATGGAGCAATGACAAAGGTGACACTTGGTTACCTGTCTTCTCTTCATTTCCTAAATTCTTGCTAGATGCCATACAGTCAACTGGGCCTATATATGTTCA